ATCCGGTGGGACGCAGGGGCTTGAGGCCATCCCCAAGAGAGGAGAGGGGAGGGTGCAGGGGCAACCGCTGGGGGAGAGGTTCCGGGGAAGCCGGGACGCAGACGGGGTCGGGGGGCCGCTGTGCTGGGGGTCAAGGCGCGGCTGGAGCCCGCCCTCCATCCACGAGGTGCACCCCCCGGGGCAGTTGACCTAACCTCCGGCCTCCGCTCCTCACCTGGGAAGTGGTGGACTCAGGTGTGTGACGTGCTTAGCGCAGGGAAGGTCAGCCTGTCGGTGTTTGGTGAGCAAAACGTGGGGGCGGCAGACACTCCCGGGGCCGGAGGGAGAACGCCTACCCCTCGCGGCCTCCGTTCCCCTCGCTTACCCCCTGGAGAACCTCCTTTCCTTCCTCCTCCCCCGAGAGGAACGCAGAGAACTGTTACACATGCGGTTTTCCATTGACCCTTAGACCCACTGAATGAGGACTTACAAGGGCAGAGTCCAGAATCTGTCTTTTTTTTTAAAAAAGGGCTTTCCAGATGATAGGTTTGACCCCCATGACAGGAAGCCCCGACTCATTGTCCATCACCAGCTGTCAGTCTCCTTCCTCCTGCCTGTGTCCCCACCTGTGATATGGGGCTAACAGAACCTGCTTCCTGGGTACTGTGTTTTGTGATGAGGATTAAATAAGCTAATATTTGAAAAGCGCCTAGAATAGTTCTACGTACCCATTAAGCAATATGTGTGTTTATGAAATGAAATAAAACCCTTTCTTCCCAGGCATTTGAGGAGGCTCAGCTGGCCTCTCTGGACCCCCTGAAGCAGTTTGCTGCCTGGTTCGAAGAGGCTGTTGCGTGTCCTGACATTGGGGAAGCCAACGCCATGTGTCTGGCTACCTGTACCAGGTGGGCATGGCCATGGGCCCTGCTGTGGGTGGGCACAGATGCAGTAGGATACTGAGGGAGCTCTCAGTTTGACGGATGACAACTTTATGGTTCTGGCACTTTCATTAAAATGCTGTGTGGCCTCAGGCAAGTTGCTTGTCCTCTCTGCGCTTCCGTGTCCTTCCCTGTAAACCGAAGATCACACTTCATTCAGTGACATTTCAGGGTTGGCAGTGCCTCTCTGCCCTTGATGCAACCCCCCCGTAGACCCTTGCCTCCCTTATCTCCCCACCTATCCTATTCCCAGCTGCTCTTGGAGAGCTGTGCCTCCTGGGACCTCTTCATGAAGCTCTTTGTAGACAGTGCTTGGCTGTATCCTTCACTTGGTAATCAGCCATTGAGACATCTCTCATATTAGCCTCCTACCCAACCCAACTCCTCCTGTCCCCCCGCAGTCAAATGGAAGGCCTTGAAGGCAGCGCTCTTGTGCTGTGCCCTGGGTGTCCCCCAAAGCCCTGAGCAGAGGGTCTGATGGAGCCACACCTTCTGTGCTCCCGAAGCACTGGCCTGTTGCATTCTTGTTGGTTGCTGCCCTTAGAGCCGTGTTATTTTGCCAGGGCTGCCGTAAGAAACCACCACAGGGTGGCTTACACAACGGAAATGCATTTTCTCACAGTTCTGGAAACTAGAAGTCCAAGATGGAGGTACTGTCAGAGTTGGTTAGTGAGGCCTCTTTTCGCGGCTTGCAGATGGCTGCCTTTTTGCTGTGTCCTCACATGGCCTTTCCTTTGTGCATGCAGAGAGCAGGGGAGAGCTCAGTGGTGTTTCTTCCTCTTACAAGGACACCAGTGGTTTTGGATTAGAGTCCCACCCTATGACCGTATTTACCCTTCCTCCCTCCCTAAGGTCCTCTCTCTAAGTACTCACATTGGGGCAAGGGCATCAACATAGGCTTTTAGGGGGACATAGTTCAGTCCCTGACAGTCCTGGAAGTGAATGCGAATCCACAGACCGCCGTCAGGACAGTGGGGAGGACGCCTCTGGCACGCAGGGCGAAGGCTTCAATGTCATGTTGGTGTTTGTTTGCTTTCAGGCTAAATCCCCAGGGGCAGGGGGGAATGGGTGGGTGGCCCGAGTGCCCGGACGGTGCAGAATTGGGACACAGCCGTAGGGAGGCTCAGACATCCCAAGCGAGGGGCAGCGGCGAGAACCCTGAGTGGGCTCTGACACGGCACTCTGCTCTCTGTCCCAGAGATGGGAAGCCCTCCGCCCGCATGGTGCTGCTGAAGGGCTTTGACCAGGATGGCTTCCGCTTCTTCACTAACTTCGAGAGCCGAAAGGGGAAAGAGCTGGTGAGGGGTCACGGTAAATCCTCCGCGGGGCTGCAGAGTCCAGCCCTTGCCTCATCAGTCACCCCCACCCCAACCGCTTGCTGTCTGTGCTCAAGGGCCACCCTGCTGGGGGCCTTTGCACTGCCGTTCTCCTTGCCGCACATGCGTGAATGCTCTCCAACCACCCCTGCCTCTGTCATCTGTTCATCCGAGTAACCCTGTCCCTCCAGTCTCAGCCCCAATGTTAGCCTCTTCGAAAAAGCCTCCTCAACTCCGACACTGAGTCAGCCGCTCATGCTGTTTGCTCTCATTCTAACTAGCAACTTTCCTGCCATTTTTTCCGTTTCTAGCTGTGCATGTGTATGATTATGTGGTTAATGTGTGTCCCCCCCTGTTAAGTGGTAAGCCTTGCGGGGGGGCTGAGGCTGCATCTGTTGTATCTGTGTTACACCCCCGTGACCTCTTCTGGTGTCGAATACAGCGCTGGCACTTCACATGCATACAGTTCATAAATCCACATGAGTCATCCTCCCTGAGTCCCTGCCAGGCAAACATACATTTCTGAGAACATGCAAAATCTGTGGGCTTAAGAAATGGCAAGCATCACTTTGGAGTCCAGCTGGCTTGGGTTTCCGATGCAGCCCTGCCACTTGCTATGTGAACTCGGGCTTGTTACCTAACCTCTCTGAGCCTGTCCCTACCTGTAACAGTAGGCCTACCGTTGAGGGTTTAAATGAGATACTACACTGAGTGCCTCTCCCGTGGGCCTGCACGCTGCAGACTTCCCGCCTTCCCCCATGTCCTGACGCTGTCTGTGGATTCTCTTTCATTTCCAGGACTCTAATCCCTTTGCTTCCCTTGTCTTCTACTGGGAGCCCCTGAACCGTCAGGTGAGTGAGTGTTCCCAGGGCAGCCTGGGCGGGCTGTGTTGGGAGGGGTCTGAGTTTATATAGGAGCCCAGTGGAGGTCCCCAGGCTGGGCAAACATCCTGCCTCTCATTGCTCTCGTATAGTCAGCTGGTCTGGGGGCAGCCCGGAGTGGTGAGGCATTGGCTAAAGAGAAGACGGGAATGGGCCTGTGGCCTGGGGAGGGCGAGTGAACGCCATGTAGCCAAGGCCATCCCTGAGCAGGTGCGTGTGGAGGGCCCTGTGAAGAAGCTGCCAGAGGAGGAGGCCGCGTGCTACTTCCACTCCCGCCCCAAGAGCAGCCAGGTCGGGGCTGTGGTCAGTCACCAGAGTTCCGTCATCCCTGATCGGGAGGTGAGTGGGGCTTCCTCTTAGTCGTCCGGGTGGCGAGGGCCCGGGCTCATCCCCAGAGGCTGTCCCCCAGGGATGCCAACAACCTCTCTCGCCAGCAAAGTGGAGAGGATGTCTTCCTGGGGGAACGGGAATGGGGAAATGGCCCAATGGGCCTCCTGTGTCTGCCAGACCCTCCCGTTGGACTCTGTTCCCAGAGGACAGAGGCCGCCTGTGCCTTGCTCACCTGTGTGCCCAGCACCTGGCACATGCTCAGTACGTGGTTATTAAATGAATCATTGACCGGGTCTGGCCCTTCCTCTATCTCCTTCCCCTGAACAGTATCTGAGAAAGAAAAACGAGGAATTGGAGAAGCTGTACCAGGAACAAGAGGTGCCGAAGCCAAAATACTGGTGAGTGATGCCTCATAGGCGTGTAGAAAGGGACACCAGGACCCTCGTGTTTGCTGGAAGCCACCCCGTCTATGGGTTACAGATCTCCTCCCCGTCAACCCTGAGATACCGCCCAGCAACGTCCTTCAGGGGGCCCCGTGGTGGTGGGGAGTGACATGGCTGCTTCTCTTTGTAGGGGTGGCTACATCCTGTGCCCACAGGTGGTGGAATTCTGGCAAGGCCAAACCAACCGCCTGCACGACCGGATCGTCTTTCGGCGGAGCCTCCCGACAGGAGACTCCCCTTTGGGGCCCATGACCCGCCGCGGGGAGGGAGACTGGCTCTACGAGAGGCTTGCTCCCTGACTCCCGGGCCGCGGTGCCCACGGGAGCGAGGACCAGGTGCTGAGAGAGGGTGTGGGGTTGTGAGTCGGGCCCTTCTAAGGGCCACCATTTCCCTCCCCACTCCTTACGTGTAGGGGTCTTCAGAGTTCATCCTTTCAGTACCTCTATGTGGTTGGCTCCCAGTGAGCTCTAGTGGAGTGTAATGGTGGCATAGAGAATCACAAATGGAAAGTCATCTCATTATTTTCTTGATTTTGACAGTAGTTTACTGGAACGGCTCCCTCTAGAGGGAGCAGCTGCTGTAAATCCCTCTTCAGGTGACACAGGGTGCGTCCCCAGCAGCCCTGTCTTTTTACCACTGTGACTGAGTCCTGCTGGCCAAAGCTGTTGGTCCCAGCATGAGCACCTGAGTCAATCTCGCCCATCGGCTTTTCTTGTCAACTGTTGGAAATTGGACACGGAGAGACCCAGAGCGCGCTCACTGTAGCCGCGTCGTTAGTGGCAGCCAAGGAGCCACGGCCTCTGGCTGCTGCTCTTGCAATTCCCTGAGAGGCCCTGGCGCCCTCCTTCCCCGCCTGGGCTGTGTGGTTCCTCCTCCTGCCTCACACACCCACTGTCTCTACAAAGAAGTGTTTTTTTGACATAAACTCGCAGAATAAATTGCTGTTGATTGCAAATAAAAGAACCCTAACTCACTTGTTTATTAACAGATACTCTTACAGCATTTACCCTGCTGATAGCTGCCTTCCATGATCTGGAGCACAGCAGTGTGGGGAAAGATTGAATTGATTCTCTGTAGCTCCAAAGGACCCATCGGTGGATATTCCACAGAAATAGATTTCACTTCAATATGGGGAGAGATTGCCGGGGGAGGGGTGGTGAGCATTAGGTAGTGAGTATGCTCTCACTGGAAGCATTCAATCCCGGTCAGGAGTTTTGTAGAAAGGATTCATGTGCTGGTACCTAATAAATGAAGCTTTATTTTCTAGGTTGGTTTATAAACAGTATTTATTTATTTTATTTATTTTCCAGGCATGAAATTAAATTATTATAGAGATTCTGCCTTTCTGACAACTCACACACCCCCTTCCCTACTCCTCACCTCTCCACGTCACTGGTTTTCACCCACATTGGGATTACCGGGGCAGGGAGGGGGTGCTTTAAAAATCCTGATGATGCCTAGATCCTCCCCTTAGAGATGACTTCACGGGTCTGAGGCATTGGGAAATTTAAAGGCTCCCCAGGGAACTTTGTGAAGCCAAGGTTCCGAGCCCCTGGGCTGGACCCTTGTGTGGGCCTCGGGACGGCAGGCAGCATTGGCACCACTTGGGAGCCCTCCCCAGACCCACTGAGTTTCCGCCTGCATTTAACGGGACCCCCACCCACCCCTGGTGACAGTGCACTGGCCTCAACCCCTGAACCTCCTGCCCCTCACCCTCACCATCGGATCTCCGGGAGCCCTCGGCTGAGGCCTGTGCGGAACTGTGTTTGCTTTCCTCGGGCACAAGTCTGGTGACCAGGGTCAGCCTGGATGAGTGGCCTGCAGGCTGTGGAGAGGAGCCAGGCTGGGTAAATGTTTGCTGTGACTCAGCCGGGAAGCGAGGACGGACTATTGTTTGTGCACAGTGGCATTGAACCTGCCACTCTGCACACGGCTTCATTCACTGTACGGGCCTGTGCTTCAGCGCCTGCGAGTGACCCCCCTCCCCCAAGGGCCTCTCTCTTGATGTTGATCCCCCCTCAAGCCCGAGCACACCCTTTCTGAGACCTACAGCAGAGGGCGCTGGGGACCCTTCCCTTGTCCTGTTTGTGTTTCTGGGAGCTGTGTCTCCCCAGCTTTGAGCCTGGTCTCAGCAGTTCTCTTCTCTGTCCGGCAATCACTTTGCCAGATCTCTAATAAAAGCTCATTAGATGTGCGTGATGTTAATGTCCGCTCTGGCCTGGTCTGGCCCCCCACCCTAGGAAGGAGGGGAGTTGGGGGATTAAGCAACTCTGCCCACCTCGATTTTCCTCTCTTGGTAGGTGGGGCATCCAGCAGGGGGCGCTGCTGCCCAAGGTTGGCCCCTTCTCAGCTGCACAGACCATTGTGGCCTGCCCCGCCTGCCTCTCCCTCCCCTCTTGGGTTGAGTCCCAGTGAAACTGTGGTCGATAACCCGTAGCCTCTCCCGACTCCTGCACATATTTGCACTTTCGGTTCCTCCTCCTCTGGCCTGGTAAAAACTCACAGCTGCCTGGGCTGACTCCCTGGGCAGCCAGATATCCCTTTGGCCGTTGGTAACCACCCCACCTCCTCACCCCCATCCACTAATGCCCAGGTTAGGGGAATATGTGGAGTTTCCAGGGAGGATTCCTGCAGTCATCAGTTTGGGGCCGTGGAGCATGGTCATATGTATGGGGCAGAGGTGTCCGCAGACCCTGCCCACTAGGAGGAGTCATGGTGGCAGTGAGGTGCCAGCATTAGGCCACAGGTAGGGTCTGTGGCCCAGGGCCCAGCTTCAGCCCCTGCCCTCGCCTCAGGGAAGCTCAGGATGGGCAGGAGCGGGAAGTCCCTACAATCTGGGGTCTCGCTGGTTGGCTCTCCCCTGTTGGTCCCAGAGTCTGCAGCACCCTCAAATGGTGCTCGCCTCCCAGGATCCCACAGTCCAGGCCTTGCCCTGGCTCATCCCACCTCTCCTTCAGCAGAGGGTGACTGGTTCCTTTCTTTGTCCCGAGTTTCCCGTCCCTAAGCAGATGCAAATCAGGAATGGCCAAAACCGGTTTGGCTCAGTGGATAGAGCGTCAGCCTGCGGACTGAGAGGTCCCAGGTTCGATTCCGGTCAAGGGCATGTGCCTTGGTTGCGGGCGCATCCCCAGTGGGGAGTGTGCAGGAGGCAGCTGGTCGATGTTTCTCTCTCATCGATGTTTCTAACTATCTCTCTCCTTTCCTCTCTGTAAAAACTCAATAAAATATATTAAAAAAAAATCAGGAATGGAAGGGGCTGTGTGTTTCAGTGGTCACAGCACAGCCCAGCTCTGGCTTCAGTCCCAGCGCCACCTCTGCGAGGGCATGGTCTCGGGTGAGCAACTTCAAGCTCTCTAAGCTCAGCCCTCACCTGGAAAATGGGGGTAGTTAGTACTGGGCCCTGTCTCAATGGGGCACGAGAGGATTAAAGGAGGAACCTCGGGGAGTACTTGCCACAGGGCCTGTCCCATTTTAATCCTCATCCAAGATGTTCATTTTTTTGATCCTCACCCAAGGATTTTTTTCCCATTGATTTTCAGAGTGGAAGGGAGGGAGGAGAGGAGAAAGAGAGAAAAATCTATGTGAGAGAGACGCATCGATTGGTCGCCTCCCACATGCGCCCTGACCAGGTGGGATCAAACCCACAACTGGGGTACATGCCCTTGATTGGGAATCAAACCTGCAACCTTTTTGATGTACAGGACAACACTCCAATCAACTTAGCCACCCAGCCAGTGTGGGCCTGGCCCATTTTAAACCCTCTGTAAACGTCAGGTATTAACAGTGGGCAGGACTGGAGTATGGGGGAGTCTGCTCCTCCACGGGAGGCTTTATGGACTGAGTTACTGGGGGAACCTTAGAAAGTTCCGTCATGAGGAGGGATAGGGGAAGAGTCCTGTCCTCCTCCTGCTCCCGGTCTCTCCCTCACTCTTCCTCAGAGCTCCCCATGCCTTGGGTGAGGCCACCTAACAAAGGCCCCCTTGTATGGTCTGTTTGTTTTGGTAATAAATTTCCTGAGCAGCACTCCTTGGGGTGGGGTGGGGTGGCCCAGCAGCCTGCGAGGAGCTGGCCGGGAAGCTGCCAGACCACATTGTTTAGTCGCCACCTTGGTCTCTCTCTCCATGTTCCCACCATGAGCTCTGGAGATATGGCCAATGTTTTCCAGTTCCCAGCTCCTGGGGCTTGAGAAAGATCCAGATCGAACAGCCTAAAGAGCACGCTCTCTCCTCTTCCTTAAATGGGAACTGTGGGCTATGGTGAGTTCCCTAATAAGGGAAAGGGGGGAGAAAACCAATGTTAATGGCGCACCTCCTACAGGACTACTAATGGGTCGCTAACCAGTGACCACTCCCTGTGAAATAGGTATCATTAGAGGCCCTTTTATAGAAGAGAAAACTGAGGCTCAGAGGAGGGATGTTTAAAAAAAAATTTATTGATTGATTTTTAGAGAGAGAAACATTGATTTGTTGTTCCACTTATTTATGCATTCATTCTATGTGCCCTGACGGGATGGAACCAGCAGCGTATTGGGACGATGCTCTAATCAACTGAGCTACCCAGCCAGGGTTCAGGGGAGGTTGTGTGTGTGTGTGTGTGTGTGTGTGTGTGTGTGTGTAATGTTCCCCAAATCACACAGCTACTAAGAGGTGGAACCAGACTTTGAATCTTGATCCCAAACCACTGCAACTTTGGGTCAGTCCCCAGAGGTCTGCTTCGTTCTCTTGCAGCCCCTGCTGGCCTCTGTTGACCAGAGGGACTGACCACTGAGGTGCCACAAGCACCGTGGCTGGGGGGTGAAATTGGTGTCCCCAGCCCTGCATCCCGCCACCTGGGACCCTCTGTGAAATGTGGGAGGAACGATTTGAGCACCAGGTTCCGCTTCCATGAAGGGAAACAAAGGCATAAACAGTCCTCTCAATAAATGGAAGACGAGCGTATAAACAGATGCCCTGCTTTTGCAGCATTGTTTATTACAAAGAGAGAAACCTACAGTTATTTTCTTAAACAAAATTCAAGGCTCAAGGACTCCTCTCTGGGGCTGGTCCATCTTTAATACCGTGGGGAAGAACTGGCTGTGGTTAGGTCCTACCAGAGCTTCCCTAACCCCTCCCCTAACCTGGACCCATGGGGTCCCTAACCTGGCCACCTCCAGGGAGTGCCAGCGTCCTCCTCCCCCTCACATCTGGGGGCAAAGTTCCCAGAAGTTTCCCACTTGTGTTAGGAGGTGAGCTCAAGTCCAGCCCACCTCTGGCTCCTGGAAACCATCCCCCATCACGTCTGCTGGAAAATGCACTCTCAGGATTGGTCCAGGGAACAGTCACAGGTAGAGACAGTAGAGGGAGCAGCAAGTCAAACTCACCCTTGACCCCGTGCCCTGGGAGGAAGTGAAGTCAGTCAGGCACTCTATTCCTTGTCCGCCTCCCTGCCCGCCCTGACACGGCTTCAGGGAGGGCTGACTCCCTGGGTGGCACTTGTCATCCTTGAACCAAAGTGCCTTTGTATGTGGTGGGGGACGGTGGGAGGACCCTGGGATCTCCCAGACTTCCCAGAGCACATAAATACAAACCTAAAACCAGACATTGCCTGCCAGCAGGCATCAACTGCCCCCAGGGCTTCAGCTGCGGCTAAAGAGGCCTGCGTGGCCAGCTCCTAGCTCAGATCCAGCTGACAGCAGGGAGCAGGCAGGGAGATGCTGGGTAGCACCCTCTTCGGCCCCCTTCACTGTCCTTTGCCCTCCCTGTCGTCGAAGAGGTTGGGGTTCTCCGCCAGCGTGGCTCGCACTTTCTTCTTCTCCTTGAAGCGGCCGGAGTTGGAGACCTTGACATGCTTGCCCTTTGTGTTCTTGTCCACGATCTTCTCCAGGCGGGTGTTAAAGTCACTGTTGGGATCCCCGCCCTCAGGCCCCGGGGGCTCTGTGCTGCCCTCCCCTTGGGCATAGGTGTCAGGGATCTCGTACAGCACCTTGGGGGCGGACTTCTTCTTCCGGAGGAAGGTCAGCTTCCACCAACCAACTTCGGTCATGGTGCTCCCTGAGCGGAGGGTGGGCTTCTGCAGGAGAGAGGAAGGGGTCAGTGGGGAGAAGGCGGGGGGTGCCTTGGAGCAGCCCCCTCCAGACTCCTAACCACTGGCTATTTTATTGATCTATTATTTATTTATTTTATTGTTTGATTAGTTATTTATTTTTGTTATTGTTCATCCTCATCCAAGGATATTTTTCTGTTGGTTTTTAGAAAGAGCGGGAGAGGGGAAGAGAGAGAGAGGAACATCAAAGTGAGAGAGACACATTAATCGGTTGCCTCCCGCACATACCCCGACCAGGGCCTGGAATGAGTCTGCAATCAAGGTACGTGCCCTTGACCAAAATAGGATCCAGGACGCTTTAGTCCGTGGGCTGATGCTCTATCCGCTTCTATCCACTGAGCTAAACCCGTTAGGGCTATTATTTTTAATCCTCACCTGAGGACATGCTGAGAGAGAGAGAGAGAGAGAGAGAGAGAGAGAGAGAGAGAAACTTCAATCCGTTGCCTTTCATATGTGTCTCAACCAGGGATGGAACCCACAACCCAGGAACTCTCCCTGACCAAGAATCGAATGGACAACTTTTGATGCACAGGGCAATGCTCAACCCCCTGACTACTGCAGCCGGCACCACGGGCTATTTTTATGGCCCAGGCCTAAAGGAATGAAAGGTGGGGCCGAGTGACCCCAAGATTCAGGTAAGTGATGCAATGCATTTGGAGAGAAGAGAGAGGGTCTGGGGACGAGATAGCCAAACACACATGGACAGGAAAGCCATCTGAGCCCAGGGGAGGTGACAGTGGGGAAGACACAGGCCATTGCCAGGCGGCATCGAGCTGCCAGGTCCCTTGGGGCTGCAGGAAGGTGAACAGCTTGCCCAAGTCACACAGCATCCAGGCCTTGGACACCCTTTGGGCAGATGGTCAACTGGTATCAGACAGACAGAAACACCTGGGCTTGGAATTCATTAATTAATAAATCCATTCATTCAAATTCCAACAGGACGTGTGATGTTTAGAGTAATTTGGACTTCCCACTGGTGATGAGCAGGGAGAGGAACCTCAGGCTGGGACTGTTCCAGGTGCGTGACCCCCGGCAAGTGACTCCTCTGGCCCTCAGTGGCCTCATCCGTCCCTCCCAGCCCTCATATTCAGCTCTGACATTGATGCCCGCCCACAGAGAGAGACTTGCTTTGCAAAATACAACTTACGATAATGGTGATAATGATTGAGGGATGGCCCCCTTTCCCCACCCAGCTTCCACAAGGGCAGGAGTTTGAAGGGGAGCTGGAAATTTGGAAGGAGGTTCGGTGGGGCCAAGAGGTACATGTGACATAGGGTTTCCATGGGTTGGACTCTCCATAGGAAACCCAAAAGAGATGGACTGTGGGGCTTCTCCACTGACAAGCCTTGTGCCGGGAATGAGACCCCACCGTTTACCGACCGCCACAAAGGTGCGTCTGAGCTAGTGGACATTTTGGGAGATGCCTGCACATCCCTGACAGGTGGGCATGTAGACCAGAGGGATTAAGATCAGTCAAGGCGTCTCTGTTTCGGGAGAGGCTGGTAGTCTGACCTCAGGACTCCTGAGTGTGGCTGTGCAAGGTCCTGGGGAGGAGGGGCAGCAGCCACCACACACCAGAAAGCTAGACGGTCTGTCAGCCCGGGCACAGGCAAATGTGTCACCTCTTTCAAAAAACTGATGGTCTTGCCCGGCCAGCGTGGCTCAGTGGTTGAGCTTGAACCTATGAACCAGGAGATCACGGTTCAACTCCCAGTGAGGGCATATGCCCGGGTTGCGGGCTTGATCGCCAGCATGGGGCATACAGGAGGCAGCCGATCAATGATTCTCTCTCATCATTGATGTTCCTCTCCCTCTCCCTCTCCCTCTCCCTCTCTCTCTCTCCTTCTCCCTCTCTGAAATCAATAAAAATATATTTTAAAAAATAAAAATGAAAACTGATGGTCTTAACTACCTTTTCTAAAAAGACCAGAAAGAAATATGACAAATGGCTAGTAGTGGTTTTCTTTATGTAGAAGGAAGACGGGCGGCTCTCTCCCCTCCACTTTTCTAATTTCCAGATCTTCCACAATGAGTATGGGGTCTGTTCTGTTAGAGGAGGAACACATCAAATTCAGAAAGCACGAAGGCAGGATGCTGGCCCAGGCTGGGAGTGAGTTGAGTGCCTTCTTCCACTTCCATTGGCTCCCTGGCTGTTGTCCCCTGTCCCCCCATATGCCCATCCCCCTGCCCAGAGCACGCGTCCAACCGATTCTTTCCAGGGCTTTGTCCAGAAAGGAGATTCCACGTTGCCACCTCTGTCCCTCTGCTCGGCTCATGCAGCAAGAGACCCCAGGGTAGACCTGGTGCAGCGCCCATTTAGAAAGTGAGGGAGGGGAGAGTGGCCAGATAAATGCCTTCCGGGCACCCAGGGGAGGCGAGGGCACCCAGGGGACAGCCCGGGAGGTTTGCTTTGGCAGCTTGCCCCACCTGGGCCTAGCACAGCCTTGCTCAGATCTCAGTGTTCCAGGATGGGTGTCTGGAAGGAGCTGTGAGAAGGGCAGGGAAGGAGGGACAGGACGCTTGCGCCCTTGCTTGGCCTGTGGGTGCCTGAGTTGCCACCTGGTCTGGGGCAAGTCCCATGGCCCCACCAGGGCTGCCAAGGAACATGGGGAGTGGAGGATCCAACTCCCGAACCAACAGCAATAACCAGACTGCCTCGCCTAGAGGAAGTGGCTTTTTTATGTGCCAGTTAAAACAGACCCACTTTAATGGGCATTTCAGTTAGCCACTACAGCAGTGGTTCTCAACCTTCTGGCCCTTTCAATACAGTTCCTCATGCTGTGACCCAACCATAAAATGATTTTCATTGCTACTTCATAACTGTCATGTTGCTACTGTTATGAATCATAATGTAAATATCTGATAGGCAGGATGGTCTTAGGCGACCCCTGTGAAAGGGTCGTTCGACAGCCAAAGGGGTCGCGACCCACAGGTAGAGAACCACTGCTCCACAGGGAGGGACAGATCACAAGAAACTGGTCAGAAAACCAGGGTCGGGAATGGCCCTTGGACCCTGCCCTGCGGCCTCCACCATGGCACCTCGGTGCCTGTGTCTCCTGGCTTAAACTCTGGTCTCTCTAGCAGACTGTTTGCCAGGCCCCGCTTCCCCCTGCTTAGGCACGCGAGCACAAGTAAGCAGGTGTGTGCCCCTTTAAGCAAGCCTGACCTGTGGAGGTCTGAATTTGCAGAATAGCTAAATTAGGTCTTCGTTTTGCAGAATAACCCAGCTAGCTATAAGATTCTGTCTGGTAAACAGTGAGTTACCCCAAGAGAGTGTAAAGTCTGACTTGCTTAAAAAAGAAAGTGTTACCCAAACTTCTCAGCTCCCCAAAGTAGCCAAGAACAAGACACCTACAGCCACACACCTACGCCTCATCACAGAGGGTCGCAGGCTGGGGCAGGGAGTGAATTGGGGTTTTGAGCATGGTCTGCAGTCTGTTCATGGGCCAAGCAGAGGGCTGAGCCCTTGCCCTGGGGCCCTGCAATCCGTGGGATGATAGAAATCTGCCCCTGAGGAGACCCCTACGCTGTTTGCACAGCTGGGGAGCCCAGCCTCACGGGACAGCCCACCGCCCCTTGCCTATAACAGCTACACCGTGGCCCGCACGTGGGCACCCGGGTAGGCCCCACCGCCCCAGCTGAGTTTGCCCAGGTGAGGTTGAGCCCCTTCTCAGCTGAGCCAAGTTAACCATTGACTGGGGCAAGGTGGAGGGGGTGGAGGGGGCTGGAGGGAGCAAGTCGGCGTCTGCCTTGTAAGACAAAACCCAGAGCCCCAGCCCTCAGCTTTCTGGGGGGCCCCGTGGGACTCCTCCACCCTGGATAAGTCTGGGGACCCTAGACAGGAACAGGAGGAGGTTCAGACAGCCAGAAATACCCTCCAGGCTGGGGGTAGGCACTGGTGGGTTCCAGCTCCACAAGAGTTAACAGAGAACAGCTCTGGAGAGAAATTCTCCCCCCAGGAGTTCCAGGCTGGGGGCCTGGAGTGACTCCAAGAAGCCAACGGGACGAGCCCCGAATTCTGCCTGCTCACCCAGGAAGGTGGGAGCCCGCATACCAGGCTCTCCCTCGCAGCTGGACTTGTCAGCCACAGAGGCAGAACGGGGCCCTGGCTGCACCGTGGTTTCCCCACCGCCCACCCTCGGCCTGTACCTGTGATCCTGGCTGCCGCAGCTGGAGGTGAGCCCCTCCCTAGAGAAGGGGCTGAGCGCCGGCGCCGC